CCCCCCAGCCGCGCCCGCCCCCGCCCGAGCTCAGGAGCTGGCAGGTGCCTGCCAGGGGGCCGGGTGCAGGCAGCGCCCATGTGCTGGGAACCCTGCTGCAAGCCCTGGCCCAGACGGCAAGGCCTCCTGGGGCTGCCGAGACCTGCTGCCCCCAGGGCGCCAGGAAACGGGGGAGCCACCAGGCAGAGCCTCAGCTCCAACAGCACTTTCTGCTCTCCCAGTCTGCATGTGCATGCACCCCCGCCCTGAGCTCGCTGCACCTCACCATGACCAGGCCGCAGAGGGGAGGGGTGAGCTATGGGCGCCGGGGGAGCAGGCTGAGGACTATCAAGACGCACCTCACTGGCCCTCCAGCTCTCCGCAGCACCCCCATCCCGTCCCTCCACAGCAGCGGACGGGCCCCCAGCAGCTAGTGCTGCACTGGCTGGGGGGGCCACAGAGTGTGGGGAAGGGCCCCCCTCAGCGCTACGATCAGTCTCTGGCCTGGCCCTCCCAGCCGGGCTGGTGGGGACTCACCTTGGTCAGGGGCAGGTGGGCTGGCAAGGAGACACCCTCCTTCTGCAGAAGCCGTTTCTCCTCTTCTGTCAGGGTGAGCTCGGGGAAGCCAGACTGGAAGACAAAGGACTCGCTGCTGAGACTGGAGACCCTGGGCGCGGGGAGCCTGCCCTGAGCCGGAGTTTGGGGGCCTGGAAAGGCAGGGAGCAGGTGGGGCTTGTCCCTGGGGCATGGGCCTCAGTACCTGCACGGGGGACCCAGGCCCCAAGTCATCCACAGGCACCGCAATGTCTCCTGGCGTCTCCTCTGCACTTCCAGAGTCCCCCCACGCATCTGGGAGAGGAACAAGAGTCAGGCTCCACCCCCTGCACCCCCATAGCAGCCAGCCACCCCGCCCCCACAGACAGCCCCCCGCCGCGGGGCCGGCCCTCACCGAGGTCAATGAAGATGTCTCCTTCTGCCATCTCCGCTCTCGCGCGCTGCAGCACCGCCCCGTCGCGATGGAGGGAGTAGCTGTGGTCCACCTGCACCACGGCCGAGCTGGAAGGGCTGCTGGCCAGGTCGCTGGCCGGGGACCAGGGCATGGGGACTGTGGTCTGGTCCTCGGAGAAGCTGCTGTCGCTGTCGGGGGGCGAGTGGCCCTGCCCAAAGGGGCTCAGCAGGGCGCTGAGGAAGTCCTCCACCTCCTTCTCATCCAGGAGCTGCGCAGGAGAGTGGCTGTTCAACAGGCCTGCAAGCCCCCTCCCACGGCTCAGCTCTGCCCACCCCAGGCACCAGGCTCACCTCGGGCTCCAGCAGCCCCCAGTCTCCCGGCAGCTTGGCGTCGGCCCCAGGGAACGCCGCACAGGGGGAATCGCCCGCTAGGAGGAAGCTGAGCAGCTCTTCCTCTGCCAAGGCAGCCACCTCTGCTGGACACGACATCTGAGCGAGACAGACAGGCCACCCAGGGGCTGGGGGAGAGCGCCACCTCCCGCCTGCCCCTCCGGTGCACCACAGGCAACGCGCGGCCCGGCGGGGGCCGCTGCG